ACAACATTAAATCTAAATACCAAAATGATTAATTTATTGTGTTTTTGTTATTTCTTACTCCTGTTTTTAGGTATTCGGTATTCGGCCGAATAATGATTAAATATTCGGTATTCGGCCGAATACCGAATAGTAACCGAATATTCGTTACATCACTAATATTTAATAAATTAAATTGTTGCATTTTGCATTTAAAATAAATAAATTATAACAAAATATAAATACATTTTAAAAAATTAATAAATATAAATTACTTTTCATTCATTTAAATAAAAAAAAACTAAATTAAATTTAAAATGCTGGAGTCAACACATTTTTCCTAACTCTGACTCCTCTGGCCAAAAATTCCTCCCGACTCCAACTCAACGACTGCAATTCCGACTCCACAGCTCCAGATATTCTGAAACACTACACTTTCTGTACGTCCATTTATTTAATTCTACATCTTGTTTACATTCGTTCATCTTTTAATGCAAGCTATTAAGGTATGTAAAATTCTATATTATAATGTACAGAAAGTGTACACAAAATATTAAATAATTTAATAGTATAAAATTTACAGGAAACAGATGAATTGGAATTTTAGATGATATTTAATGTAATTAAAAAAAACAGAAAAAAAACAGCATAAAGTTTTACACCAAAATTTGTCAAAATGTCTAAGAAAATTTTGATAATGCTTTAATATTGTTTGTGCAATAATGTAACAACAGTATGTATTTTAGTGAACTGATGTGTGAAGAACACAAAATGCATATTGATGGATGATGGATGAATGTAAACAAGATATAGAAAACAATAATTACATGTACAGAGAGTCTAGTGTCTCAGAATATCCCTTCATCATAAGATGGAAAAGAAAAATCAAAACATTATTATTTTATATTATTATATACAAGTATATTATATATTATTATTTATATTATTTTATACTTGTGATTTTATTTTTTATTTTTCTTCTGGTGCTGTAGTTTTTCAGTGCTTATCACAAGCTACCAATTTTCATACTATGTGTGAATATATAGTAGAATCTCATTTTCATGGATCAGAAAACAATGGATTTCTCAGGATTTTATCTCTAGATCCCACCAAATCAATGTAATTTTACTTCCTTTTAGTAGATTCGTAATTTGGAATAGCACCATCTATTTTAAATTTCATGTTTTTCAACATTTAGTTAATATTTGAATGTTTCCAGGAATTTGTAAAGTTCAATGATGTACTTGTTACATCTGAGATATGTATTGTACAGTTTAAAAATTGTACAAAAAAAAAATAGTCAGAAGCCTGATACAATTGAGGAGAAGACACCTAGTGAACATTCTGATGGTGGTCCAAGTGTAGAGCCAAAATTTAGTGAGGCTATCAAGTCTTTCTAAGTTGTAAAAACATTCCCAAAGAGTTTCAGCATAAATGAACAGGCAGTAAATGACATTGCTAATATAAAGTGGTTGTCATATTCAATAGGCAGAAATGTGGCCTCATAACAAATCAAGACAGATGAGTTTTTTAACAAATCATGAAGTCAAGTGAAGTGCTAATGAGCATATGTAATTTGCTCCTTTATGGGCATAGTTTTCATCATCTTTGTCATATGTACGTATGACAAAGCCAATGGGGAATGGGAGTTAAAAACTGGAAATTGTTTTGAATAACAGATTCTCAGAACAACAGATGATTTTCAGTGGCTTGAGCAATCTGTTAAAATGAGATTCTACTGTATAATCAAAATTTTATGCATAGTATGTGTGATATCATAGACACTTTCACCTGTGTATGCCTGAAGAGGTCTCATTAAAGGCAGGGCTGTGAAGTTGCGTAAAAATCTACCGACTCCAACTCCAACTTTTCCTTACCATTTGACGCCGACTCTGACCAGGTCTCTTGTTACCAAAAGAGACCCAGAAATTCTGATGTCATCATGTGACCTCAGAATAAAAGTTTCAATAAATAGAGTTCTAATAAAAATAGAATATAGAAACTTTTTATTCCAAAGCTAAAAGACTCCTCTAAATAATGACACAGTCAATATATAAATATGTATTTGATAATTTTTACTTTTCCGCTGTTATATATAACAGAGGGAAAGTGTAACACTCGGTCAAAAAATGACACCTCCCAATTTTTTACATTTTTGGACTCAGGACAACTTGAAATTTCGAGATATAATTCAAAAGATTCAATTTTTTTTCTATACGTATGAATATTAGACTTTGTGTAGGGGCATGATTTTGTTCATCCTGTTTGAAGCCTAATAATTTCTGTGGTCAGAGTGGTTAGAATCGGAGTCAGATAGTTTAACACAGGAGTTAGTTATTAAGCGTCAAAGTAGTTGAACTAAATTGTGACCCCATACACATTCTGACATCTTAGGCGAGAACATCTTAACGGGTTTTACTGTACTATTATAAAATGACAAAAAAGCTTACTTTGAGGGTAGAGACGAGTTTTACTTTTTATGTTTTAAATTTTGAATGCTAATAACAAATAAAATATTCATTAAGAGATATGACACATGACCCCTTTTATGTCTTCACCCTGTCAACCTTTAATTAAGAACCAAAATTTAATAGTATTAATGCCCTTTTACACAAGCTACAGTGTCACATTTCGTTTCTTAAACTTTACCCATTCTGAAATATTGTTTAATATCTCAGAACAGAAAATAAAGAAATTAAACAAATTAGATGCCAGCACACACACATGCACGTGAATTTTTCCCCTTTTATTGACTTTTTTGGGGGATTTGGGAGGTCTTCAAACGTATGTGTAGATTTGCAAAAAAAACTTGGAGGGTCAAATTTGACACGATTTCAATACTTTTCAGTTTTATATACATAAAAAGTTGGGAAGTAAAAAGGATTTGGAGTCAGCAGAATTTTTGACAACTCTGACACCGGCTAAAACACCAAAACTCCACGACTCTGACTCCGATTCCACAGCCCTGATTAAAGGTGTATTGATTAATTCAGCAGATTAACCACAGTAGCTAGTTCATCATTGTTATATGACACATCACAGAAAATAAGAGGTTGAGCAATCTCCAGCAATTAAAGAATGACTAAGAATTAAGATACTCTCCCAAAGTCTTAAACTTTTGAATGAAACATCATCAGTATTATTCTCTTCTCTAACTGCACTTTGTAAAAATAACTAAACCTTGAACAAAACTTTTTAATATGCAGCCATTTTATTATCTGTTCAAACGCTTTTGGTCATTTTTAATGACCTTCTTCAAGAACAAAACTCGAATGCTTTCAATTTGTATACAACGAAATTTGTTTTGGAACATTTTTTAAATTTGAACTTTCTAGTTTTTAAATTAGAACTTTATCAGTATTATTTAATAAATAATATGGTAAAATTCTGTTAATTCAGATTTGATTTTATCTGAGAATAATTATTTTAAAAAATATTAAATTACTTAAAAAAATATCTATATAATGATTATTTTATACTAACTATATATAATTTAATCAGGATATCTAGAATAAGCTTTTCATATGCATTATAGTTAAAAAGCCTTTTAATATACTTATTACAAGTATAATAAACCCCACATTGGGACAATATTGTATGGTGATGGATACAACCCAACATTTCTGACTTAAACTACTCATTAAAAATTTTGTGGATCAAAACTTAAACTTAAAGAAGCAGGCAGGTGTTTTTGTAATCTGAGCCATCCACTTTTCCTATTCACTTTAGCTTACTAGCATGAAATTATAATTCCATTCACTTTTGGACGATAACTTCTTCTTCATATAAGTAATTCAGAGATTTTGTTCAGATCTGTACAGTGACAATTTATATTATTTTGAAATCAATAATTAATTGTTCTCTTAGTTCCAGTTCTTAGCATGTTATTCACTCAGCTGTTGCCATTCTGAGGAGACATAAAATTTCCAATGACTTATAAACTAAACACTCAATTTTCAGAGGTCCATTTTTCAAAAATGCTTGAGAAGTGGGTCCTATTATTTGGACAAGGAACTGATTGTGTTTACGCTACAGGCTCACCAAATTTCATTTGAATGTTTGACCCTCTTTTTGTTAGTAATTGTTAGTGTTATTCTTGTTTTTCTTTGGAGTTGCTCAAGATCTGTGCATGTCCAATGTATAACTCCAAAAGAATAAGTGAGTACAGGGACAACTGAGTTTTGTGATGGTGTAGTAAGTATGGATGATAAACTTGTTCATTTCTGATGTCCATTTCATCTGTTAGCATGATTTACTTGCCTTAGTGGTCTATGGCTGGATTGCCTCATAAACATGAATGTTAGGTCAGTTTCCCACAACTGGTGTGGGCATTGCACTAGCCATACTTGGACCAGTGTTGCTTTCACTACTGGTGTCTAAGGGAGACTATGACACATTTTTTCAAATGTGAGCCCCTGCCTAACTCATGAGCATGGACCTTGTTAACCCAGTCATCATCAAAGCTCTTGGATCATGTTATCACTATGGTTAAATCTCCACAGATGTGGATTTTGTCACTCTTGGCCTCATTTCTCCCCATAGAGCTTATTGGCATGAGTGATCCTACCAGAAACAAATGCTCCAGCCAGCATAGCTCTGTGGTTCATCAGAATTACTGAGCCAACTAGGTGAGAGCACTACAACTAGGTGGTGATTGGTGAGAGAGTTGTTGTTCTATATATCATTTAAAAATTATAATTCATTATAGCAATACTTTAATTATATCTTTCTTATTGTTAGCATATTCATATTAATATTTATATTTTCTACATTATATATTTTTTTTAAATTCTGATTATAATAGCCAATTTGTTATTGATGAGAAGAATAGATATACAGTATTAAAACCATTAAATTGAGTAAAAACATTTATTTTTGAAATGAGAATAAATTTTTGAAAACTGTATTTATATATGTTTTTTGTGCATAACATAGAATACAGAAATAATGAATAAATTGTTTAAATCTGTTATAAGTTACATTTTAATAAGCAATTATACATGCAATATATTTTTTACACTTACCCTGATGGAATAGTTTCTACAACTTTTACATGATATTTAGTATTAAAGTTTCCGTAATAAGAAGCAAGTGTTCCAACAATTACCTAAAATGANTGTAAATCGACCAATTGAAAAAGATTTTACTTCATTTTACTCACAAATAGGTTTTTTTTTTCAATATTTAACAGATACTTTTCTTAGATTTTTACATATTAATTTTATTTTCAATTTTTAATGTGATGTAGTCGTGTGTTAGGCTTAAACCGATCACCTAATATAAAAATGAACATCGCTTAAAAGATTATAGAAACTATTAAAATTTCTTGCTAATAGTTTAGATATAAATGTTTTCTGCGCATGAAACAAAGCAACCAAAAAATACAAAGCAGACCATAAAAATATTTTCTAAATTTCATAAAAACATGCATTTGCAACAATATCTAAATGAAATAGTTACGGAAAATACAAAAGTTGTACAATTAGCACAATTTGTTCTAGCGAAATTAATTTTGAAAGGTTTTGTCGCTGTTATTTTTCGCGTGGGCAAACACGATTTCTCGTACAGTATAACGAGTCTTCGCTGAGTGTAATATCAAATTGCGATAACTCGCTTTAAAATCGGGCTAGAATCGATCTGTTTTTTTTTTATTTTTGCTGCAAAAGACTCAGTTTACGATTATTAAATCTAATACAAATTTTAAAAATACTTAAATTATAAATTGTTTAAGAATAGAGGTGATTAATGATTTGCCTTTATTTTTGTGAACTTTTTAAAGTTTTTAAATGTTAATAAGTGACCGGCTGCCCAGATATTATATAAACAAACAAAAATTATTCACATGGTTTGATAATATATTTTATACTTACAACAACAAGATCAATTGGAAAAGGCATTATCATTTTATGTTGAAATCTATCATTAATGTGATCTTTTACAACTGCCAACGTAAAAAGGGAAATTGCTGATATTGACAGAGTTACTAAATTTGTATTCTTCAAATCATTAAAGATATCAATATATGTCTGTAATAATATTAATTATAAATTAATTTAATTATTTGACACTGCATTTAAAAATTGATTTTTTTTATTCACAAATTTATTATTATTTATTTATTGTATTTTTTTATTAAAATTAATAATAATCAATGCTACTTAAACAGTAATATAAATTATCTATTTAAATAATAATGATACAGTGCTAAGAGTATCACAATTTAATATAAATAATAGAATTAACAAATTATTTATTAATGTAAGAGAATTTTGTTTTATAAACTGATTTATTTTTAACAAAAAACATTTCTCTGAAGAATATAAATGTCTTAAGTAAAAAATGATTGAGAATTAATTGAAGATTGAGAAATGAATTCCAAAATATATTTTAGTTTAATAATTTGAGATTTCTATAACTTTAATTTGAATTTTAATAAATACATTAATGAAGTCAGAAAAAGCAATATTTTAATTTTTTTATTTCACTATTTATAGAAATGATAATGTTAAAATATTAAATATACAAACTTTATAAATGATTGCTCATTAGTTAATATAACAATAACCTCTAAATTATAAATATATCTACACACAGACAATTTTATTTATAATAGTTGTATTCCAGTTTCATAACCAATTATAAAGATGTTAGTTTGAATGTTCCTATATTGCATAACTACCATTAAACCTTTAAATCTTTTTGTTTAATCAATTATGTGAGCAAATTACTTTAAATAAAATCACTATAATTTAATTAGTATTTAGCAAATTTATCCCTTTAAAGTAAAATATTAGGAATGACTTTATGCATTAAAAGTGTCTTTTAATTAAAAAATTAAACAATTTTCAATTTTATAATCATTTACAAGATACTTCAATGTCTAAAGTAATTATTAATTTAAATGTAATATGCAAAGTAACAAAATAACAATTAACTGACTGGATCAAAAATTTCAATTTAGCATGATGTATGTTACAATTTCTTATTTCTTATATCCATATAAATTTTCATTTTTATTTGAATAAAATTATAAGAAAAACTTAATTATACTACTTTACTTGTATTAATTGAAATTGTCCAGTATGGATGCCAACATTGATCCCAAATAAATCTTTCACTTGTGATGTTCCTACATGTATTGCAGCAGCTGAAGTAAATCCTGAAATCAACTGATCTGACAGTATGAAAGTTAATATTCCCAACTTTAAAACTCCAAACAGAAACTGTAAAAGTATAAGAAACATGTAAATATTTTGATCATATTTAAGATTTTGATTCATTTTACATCATTATTATTTTCTTTTAATCATATAGCACATAAAAATACAAAATGTCTGCTTTCAAGAACAATTAAATTATTTTAATAAATTCTTTCAATTGGGTTTTGCATTTACATTAGAAGAATATATAGAATATACATTAATATATTGCAAATGTAACAACTCAGTGGTTCCAGAAGAATTTCATAGATGTTCTGGAGTGGCCAGCCAACTCTCCTGATTATCAAAATTTGTGGGGTTATGTGGAGAAAAATTAGAAGATGAAAAACTAATAAATCTTACTAATCTAAAGCAACAACTTAAAAACATTTGATCCCAAGTAAGTCCAGATCAGTTTCAAAACTCATGAGCTCATTTTCCCAAAGACTTGAAGCAGTTATAAAACACAAAGGAGGGACAATCACAGTAAATACTAAAACTTAACAAAAGTGATATATTTTACTTTTTGTCACTGAGAGATTGTGAGAATTTATTCATTTATGCAGATTTATAAATGAACCCAACAAGTATGTCACATTTTTTTCATGATTTCCAGTAGAAAATTTATGTCTATTTAGCAATTTGCATCTATTTTGTGATTTCCATTAGAAAATCATAACAACCATTTTATAAATCAACTCATGATCTAAAAATATCTATCTTAAACCAATCCTAAAGCTGGAGAAAACAGAAATATAAGAAAGAAATTAGAAAAATCAAAGTTGGAGATATACCTCTGTATCCAAAATGATGGATGAAAGTGATAATGTTCTCTTTCTAAATGTAAACTGGAAATGATTCAGTGTCAGGAAATCCTTCCCATCACTGAAATTTCCATCTGTTAGTGATTCTACAGTCCCAATCTCATGTAAACTTCATGGTTACCATGATCTAGTGAGCTTCTTCTCAAACTTTCCTTCCATACATGCAAGCACCTCCAAAGGAAAAGAGATTTCCCCATTCTTCTGTCCAGCTATTATATATAACTCCTTGATTCCCACTTGGTTTATTGCTCCCGGGCAATAAACTAGCAAGACAAAAAAGAAAGGAAGAAAGCATATCTGAAGTATATACTGTACAAATAATTGTGGTGGTACGCCATGTCTTTGTATAAGTTTTATTTTATTATAAGTTCTTTTGTCTTTCACGTCTGTTTCTAGAACTTGCTAACCTATTCTTTCTCTATGGGTGGGGGACAACCTTTGTCCAAGGACGAAGGGAGAAAAACAAAGGGATACTAAGAAGCCCTGAGGGCATCCGGAAAAGGAAAAAGACACTTTCTGGTCAGCGTTCAAGGAGAGCAGATGAAGAAAAGAAGTCAAAGTTTGTCGCTGAATGGGACAAAGGAGAGACTTGAAGTCGTCTGAGAATGGACAAATGAGATGGACATCCAGATTGAGGGCTTCAAGAACACTTTGAATCCTCAAGAAACGATACAGAAAGGAACCGAGAGAAAGGAATTAAGCACAAGTTCCAACATAGAAAAGATCAGAGACTGTCGAATTACCCGGGTACCCCACCAATCTTTCCTTTATACTTGTCTTATCCCTTCGTATATCTTATTTTTCACTCTTCTTCTTTAGTATGTAAGTTAGGTTAAGGTAGTTTAGGTTAGTTGTAATATTACGGAGATATCTCTCAAAGTAAACCTTGTATTGTAGCGAACACATGTCTCCTGCCTTTGTAAATATAAAGAGTATATCAGGCTGTGTTGAAAATATACATTTACCATAGTTTGGGATCCAAAAGAACCAGGTGTAAGAAGGACCACATGGAAAGTAACTAAATAAAATCCTGTTTTTTCATTGTTACTAATTTGTAATCCATTATTTGTCCTCTACACCACCACATAATAACGGTAACTAAACTATATTCATATAATATAATACATGGCAGGCAATGGTCAGATAAATAAAGATTAATAGTTTTTTAAATTTTTTGTAAGCTTTTCTATTATTTCCTATTACATCCCGGAACATTCTGGAATGTTGTGGAATGCTCTTGAATGTTCTGGACTGTTCTAGAAATTTCTAGAGAGCAAAACTTCCAGCCCTTATCTTCAACAGCATGCCATTCAGGTAAAAACAGGAACCTTCTTCATGGATGGGAAATAGAGGGCTACCACACCATATAACTCCCTTGATTGGACCAGGATTCGTTTTTGAGTTTTAGCGGCACGTTTTTGAATTTTAGCGGCACTTTATAATATATATTGATTGATTAATTAAGTTTTTGGTATTTCTAATACAGTAGAGCCTCAAAAACTCGGCCTAATGTGGACCGAAGGGTGGCCGAGTTTGTGAAAATGCCGGGTTATCGGGAATGGGGTTAAAAAAAGATAAGTATGCGTGTTTCCTCAGAAAATATTGTACTGTACTTGTATGTATTGTTTGTTTGAGAATACAACAGAGAATAAACTGCCCAAATACCCTTAAACAAAGAAAAAGTACGTCCTTTATGAAGGCATAGAGCCTTTACTACATGAAAATGAAAATTAATGAATACACTGTGTACAGTAATTTACCTGATAAGACAGACCTCAGAAAAATACTTT